TTCCAACTGAAACAGGATGTTTGCAATCCCTCGCACATCATGATATGCTATGCAGCTCTGCTTTGATGTTACTGCTTTAGCGAGACTATGCGAGACTGATCCATTCTCAGCTTGACAATGGCTCTTCTGGCAACAGCTGTGAGTATACGCGGCAACTGCAAACACTGTTTCCTCCAATGTTAACAACTGGTCAACATGCATCATTCCAATAGCTATTGGGCTGAGTATTTGTTTGGCAAACATATGGGGGGAGGGAGATGCCCCTAGAATCTGCATTTATTTCCATTTGCATGGTGTGTCTTTATTTGGGCGAACCCCAAATGGTGTTTTTTGGTTGGTTTCCCTTTAAAATCCACGAGCAAGGGGTACCCATCACCATCACCATCACCATGACCGCCATTGCATTTTCCGCTTGAATTGGCAAGTCAGCAGCTGAGATCACATTGAATATCGACCCGGGCTCCTGCTCGAGGTGTTTCGGCCTGCTCAAAAGACGCTCAAGCTATCTTCTTGCCTGCACATGGTCCCAACCATTTGGAAAATATGTCGAGGATCTCTCCTGGGGAGTCAACATGAACCAGCCCCTATTTGAAGTTTTATTTGTGACACGTATGCAAACCGGCTGGGTTTCGATTCTAAGTGCTTCTGACATGGAGCATGGTCAAATGCCGTTCCAATACCCATCCTAGGGTTGGGCAAGTTCTGTTTAGACAACCGGCCAGGCCACCTTGAAAGGGCAACCAACAGACGGTTTTTCATAGCAGGAGAGAGAGGCGTTCAATCATGGTTATCACTGGGGTTGGCCAAGCCCTGACAATGTCCGGAGCGAGGTCCAAAGTCCTGGAGACGCACATCGAGTTGCTTGAACAAATCGATTGGCAGCCAGGGCAGGAATGGTGGGGCTCGGTGAGTGTTGATCTGACACCCCACTCGTTGTTTCCTTGTGCAGAGCTGCGGATGATTTGTCTGCTGCTTGCTGTCATCGATTGATGTGCCTCGTGTGAGGGTTACTGCCCGCCCGGTGCAGCTCATGTGCCACTGTCGTGTGCGTTGTGGTGCAAGGTGTGTCTGTTTTCTGGCTTGGTTTGGGTGTGCTCATCAGATGGCCCGGATTTTCGTGCTATCATTTCATCAACCCGCTGGGTTTCGGCCATTCTCCCGGTTTTCGCTGTCCGGGCACTGAGAGGCTCAGGGTCCCGGAGGTACGCGCCGCTTACGCGCAACCAGAGTTTGTACTTATATCCTCTTGGGTGAAGAGGGGCAGATGCTTGGGGGGTGGGTTCCGCTGATCACCGGGATTGAGCTGTGGAGCCTGCCACATCCAACCTGCGAACACAAAATCGAGCCTTTCAGGCTAGGATCTCTTTTGAGACTATTTCATTGTTGGTTTATGACCTGCGAACCAGCATCACTATGTTTTCTGCCTTGGGGGCTGGGCAAAAGCCGAGTAGGTCAGAACGGGACAGATGCAGGAGTCGTGCAAGATTTCCACCACGGGCAACTCCCCTTCTGCAACGGTGTGCGTCAGCAAGGGGCGGAAAGGAAGGCAAAAGCTTTCTGGTTCCGGTGGCTTCCCCCAGCCAGTCACAGCATAGTGTGCCTCTTTGACAGTCTCAACTTGGTCATAGGCTGTTTGGGGAGCTTGCGATCATTGCGACTTTTGAGGCTTCAAGTGATGCAAGATGAGAAGAGGCCAGGTGGGGAGGCGGTGCGCTCGGCTCAGTCTGGGCTGACATGGCCGCCCTTGGCCGTTGGCCCATCATTTAATCACTTTGGTCAGCTGGATCTTGGGGCAGGATAGGGACCTATGAGGAAGACAAGTTGGATGACTCGGTGGGTGTAGGCTCAAAGTTTCGCCGGGCACGTCCTCAATGTGACGACACAGACCAATCCGTCAGACCTTGCTGACTGTTGATCGACACAGGCATCCTTGGTTTTCCTGGCACCTACTCAATGTTCAAAACTGCGAAAAGAAGCGACCAGCTGCAAGGTGCGGAAGACCGCACTCGTAGATTGTGACTAATTTGCTGGGCTGGTTCCAAAGCAACCAGGCACAACTGTTTCCCACCAGCTTTCCACAGGGCGCTGCTGCCATACGAAAGGGACCAAGTCACATGTTTTAAGGAAGCAAACAGGCTTTATGACAATCTGCGACTGCTTGGCACCGTTGCTAGTACTTCGAGTAGCTTGTCGCTGGAAAATTACTTGAAAGACGGAGCAGTCGTTCCGGTGTCTGAAGCTTCTCTTCAGGGCCCCGGAACTGGGCCCTGTGGAGCGTTGAGCTCGAGAATCATCTGACCTGATCTTTTGGTCGCTCCGCTTGTTGGAGCCGAATTCTGCTCTTGGGCCCACAGTTTGCAACCTTGCCAGGCCGGTTTGGCGGCCTTGGGCAGTGAGTGGAAAGTGGAAAGTCTTGCAGTGTTGAGTGGAACGTCTTGTTTCTCCCTTAGTTCCAGCCCCAACCTTCCGCATAGGCCAAAGAAGTTCGCACCCGTAAGCCTTGGAGCGCCAGGCAGCTGACGACGGAGAAAACCTGCCTGCCCGACCTGGCCTGTTTGGACGTCGGCTTCGATCCTTTCGGCCCACTTTCCAAGCGGGCGAGTGCGAGTTCTCCAGGGTCCAACCCCAGCCATGAAGGTTCTCTTGGGATCAAGCTGATGGAATCTGATCCTTCATGCCACTGCGGAAACATATGGGCACCTACAAGATGCGATGTCACGTTTTCTGCACGGCTGCTCCCTTGAAGGGGCGATTTGGCCAAGTGGGCAAGCTGAACATGAGTCCAAGGCAAACTAGATCCGAGATGTGAGAACCACCCTTCATGCTGCAACTCATTCCTTTGGGCCCCCGAAGCATTCTTCGGCTTGAGAATTGTTCGTTTGAATGACTTCTGGTGTCATGGCATCTGGACCTGCGATGGCAGTTTCCGAGGGAGGAGTGTCTGTGATTCTAAAGCGGCCGGACGCCAATGTCTGGTCCCCAAATGCCAGCTCCAGTGTTTGCTTCTTCCAGAAAAAGCGCGGCCTTGTGAAGGACAGACATGTAAGTCCCATTCGTAAATGCTGGGGGTTGCAACTGAGTTGTGGGGGGCGCCCGGGGGAGGCGGGGTAAAGCTTGCCAAGTTTGGGGGGATCACGGGACGAAGCATGAATGAAGCGTGGGGTAGCTGTGGTCCCGGAGCTCGGACGGTAGGCTAGGTGGTTCTGGAAAATTTGGGAGGACACGTAACTCATGTGCAGTCCCATGTCAGGAAGCACCATGTAAACTTAGTGACCCCATGGGGCGGTTTTGCCATGTCAGAGCACCATTGCGAAGGGCGCCACTTCAGGTTGAGGAAAAATTCAACCGAATGGGAACCCTTCGGTTGGATTGATCAACTGCTACGGGGTGTGCCGCCTTCAAAGAGGACCCTTCACTTGGGGGAACACCCCCCCCAATAATCTAGATGAATCCGGGCTTTCAGGGGAGGTCCCCTTGACAAGTCTTCATTTGCTGGGGGTGCTCCACTGTCCGTGAACAGAACGCAAATACTAGCTCTTTTGCATTCGCGAATTCACCTTATTCTCCGTAAGCGGGTATTTCAGTTTGGTGTTGCCGGCTGTTTTCCCCCATTTACATCCGGATTTTGGGTGGACCACTTGGATTTAGGGTAGTCCACCGTGAATTTCAGGTTTTGACCCTGATTTTGTTTGTTTTCCCCCCAGTCCGGGTTTGATTTGGCCACTCAATTTGGCGGCCAGGGAGCAGCTGGTGACCAACTTGGAGTCCAAGAACGAGAAGCTGAAGCAAAAGACGGGGGGAATTGGGGGGGGGGCTTCCGGGGGGGGGCCCCGCGGGGGGGGGGGGGGGGGGTTTTGGGGGGGGCTGAGGGCTTTGGGATGAGAAACTTGGGGATGAGTGGGCTACTTTGGACGGAGGTGGACTCCAGGCAGCTGGTTGGATCGACTTGCTAGAAGCTGAAGCTGAAGGTTGGTGGTGCCTAGTCGAAAGATTACAGGCAACTTCAATCTGCTAGTCCGCTTGCCTGACAAATTTTTTGGACGACTTCAGATCGTTCTCTGATTTTGTCATTGGTTCGGCAGGGGGGGAGGCTGAGAGCTATTGCCACACGTTACTCCATCAAAGCTACGCCCAAACAAAAGTCTCCCGTTTGTTCACTTGAGCCAGGCCTCTTTGACTGCCCTAGTTCCATAGGCACTTCTTTGCAGCCTCATTGGAAGAGCACAGAGAACCACTAAGTCCCACGAAAGGGTGTTGGCGATTGCTGTGGCCTCAAAGCCGGGCGAGCGTAGTTGCAGTTGCCCAGTTTATCAGCTTGTTGGAACAATGGACGCCTCAGGTATCCCTGCTCTGGTGCTTTGTTTGGCCGCCGGCACATTTTTTTGTGCTTGGCCTTCCAGCGGTTCGAGGATATTGTGCCATGGACCGCCCAACTCACGGATCCAAGCGCCCCCCAAAGATTCCGTGGGCGATTGGCCCAGAGTCACACCGTGCAACTGTAGGGTAACGGGCACTGAGCCAGATTCAGCAAAACGCTGTCGCCCATGCCTCTTGCCGGATGTTAACAAGGATGCAAGTCATGCGAGACAGCTGCTGTGAGATGGGCATGGCTTGGCTTTCTGAGCATGCTTCCTTGCTTTTTCTGCATGGCATGTGGCGGGCGGAAATATCAGGGGGATGTTGCGCATGAGTGAAGGCTCATAGACCCAGCCCAGCAGGAGTGCTTGAGGCTTCCGGGTCGTGCTGGCCTGCTTTTGTGCTGGGGGCAAGGGCCAAGCGAAACGCAACGTACCCAAGGCCTTTCGTTCCCGTGACCCTCAAGAGTCACGCTTGAGTCACTCTTGAAGGGTCACTCGTTAACATTTGTAAGTGCTGTTTAACAGTTTGGAAGCAAGTGCTTTTTTCGCCAGTGCGGAGAACTCATGGGTGATGGTCGAGTTCTGAGTTTGGGGCTTTTGATGCCTCCTCCCCACTGCTGCTCGCACCGAAATGGATGGGGCCACTAGAGAGTGAGAGAGAGACCTTCCGAAATCCACAGTTTCAGATGGGAGGGCTTGAACTGCGCGAGATCTGGCTGAAGCAACCTCATGTATGATATGATGTTCCAGGTACCCTTCCCCACTTAGAGGTGCTATTTTCAATCAGTCTGATGGATGTATGAAGTGTTCTTTGGCTTGCCAGGAACGCAGCCGATGCTGTTTGCCAGCTGCTGATCACTGGACAGGTCTTCACATAAGCTACCCCATCAATGGTGCAAGCAGCTGATGCCATTCCGTGTAGTCTACTTTTAGTTTGGCAAGGACACCTCCACCCCAAGTTTTCTTCAAAAAAGAGCACACTTGCAATGCGGAACTGCCGATGCAGAGCACTTTGACGATGGCACTTGGTGTGGAAAGAACCTGTCTGTGAGAGCCGGGGCTGCGTTTGCTGAGTGACTGCGTTTGGTTTCATGCCTTTGCAGTGTCCAATTAAGCCGGCATCAACTCGGTTTGACACAAGTGATCGGGAGGGCACACACATACAAAGATCAGCCATGGAGTATATAATGTGATTGGATCCTGATTGGAACTGAGATGGGTTTTGCATGTTTGTCCATGGTGTGCTTGAAGGGCTTAGCTGAGTAAATGGGAGAACTGTGGGCTGCTTGCGGCTTCTTGGGACACGCAGCCGGGGGAGAGTTCTTCCCTCATGGACAAAGCAAAGTGGACATTTTCACTCAACAGAAAACAAACATCAGTTGCCAAGTGGCACCAGAGGCAACGAAACGATTCGCAGGGTGAAACAAGACACGTTTGACGCAAGAAGACGAAGACTACATACCCGGACGGACCGTGAACACACAATTGGCTGCTCAAATAGAAGCTGGTATCACCTGAAATGTTTCTTTTTACAAGGAGGTTTCGCCAAGTTCACGGGTGCTGCTTTCTGAAGCCGTTTTGTTTGTCAGCAGCTTCTGGGAAGTTTGAAGACACCCTAGAGTTGGCGCGAGGGTCTCGTGCTCTTGGTTTGGCCGCGAAGATTGTTTTGATGACCGCGCCTGTTGTCTCGCGCAGAACGACAACTTGGACAAACGGAGGCCGTCGATCAAACGCAGCTCCGGCTTCGGTTCAATGCCCCGGCCCTGGCCATGACTCCTCACAGGATGCATTGTCCGGGGAGGTTTCACCCGTGTCACCCAAGAGTCACCTGACCTTTTGCATGAAAGGAAAAACGCCTTTGGCCGCTTCGATTCCCTTTCTCAGCCTCCAAGTGATACCAGATGCTGGGCGATGAGGTCCATGTTGGCCGGAAGTGAAGGGAGTGGGTGTTCGTACGAGTGACGAATGAGGTTTTTGGGCGTGTGACACTGGTCAAGTTCATGGCTTCTAATCAGCATGTCAAGGTGAGCTGTTGGCCAAATCGTAAGTGGCCGTCCGACAAGAGCCAGGATGTGATCCTACCTTTTCTATTGGTTGTCTTTTCAATTATAGTCGACGACAATAAAGCTAAGCATGAAGGCACCTCAGGAAAGGAAAGAAGCAGACGCTGTAGAATTTATCCTAATTCCCACATTCAAAGCACCTGGAATGCATTTTGTGGATTTGGACATGGAAAGAAGGAGCTTGGCGCTTGGGCCAACCGGTTTTCGGGGGGGGGGGGGTCGGGGGAAGTCGTTTTCCTGATGCTGCTTCACATGTTGGATTTCCCCGAGCTCTTCTTTTCACCGAAGATCAACGCATTCCGCAACCAGCTCAAGTTTCAAAGGTCGGAGGCGAGTTCAGAGGATTGGTCAAAATTGCAGAAACAGAAGGCAGGTCTGCGGGCGTGGGTTCAACCCATTGCTACGAGCGGCCCCATATAGGTTTGAAGGTATCCTCTAAACGTTTAAAAGGCACCAACAGGCATGCCCGCCCCAAATCAGCTTACATCATCTTACATCCATAGGTTTTACATATGAGAGGTTGAGCATTGGCGCTTTGCCACGGCCATGCAAATCTCTAGCCGCGTTCATATGTCGAAAGGCTCTCAGACAACACACGGGAGCGCAAGCCACTTGGAAGACAATCACATTGGCAGCCTTTTGCGTTCGGCGGGATGCGGCGTGCTCTTTGTTTAGTACAAGGGGCGCTTTCAGATCCTTTGGCCACGGATGTGTTTGGGACGCGGATGAGGACCATGGAAATGATGGGTTTGACTGGACAGATGGATGGGAAGCAGAGAAAGACTGGGCAAGCATGTCGACTCAGAGTGGCGCTTGGTAGAGTTGGTATTTTTGTGCAGGGGCGCACATCGGCTGCAACTCATACCACCACGATGGCCTTCTCAAGTGGGGCCACGGACCAATCACCTATTTGGGGTGCAGCGCATAGTTAAGAACGACTAATAAGCTCCAACTGGCTCTGGCTCTGCGTCAACCAGGTTGAGAACCCGTTTGGCACAACGGGTGTGTCATGGTTGAACACCCGATCAGGTGGGTTTGATTTGGATCATCAAGCCTTTCGTTGGGTTTGAAGTTGTTCTGGATTCCTTTTGAGGAACATCGCGACCTTCACCCACGCAAAGAATTCCGTGACAACTCTCAAGCCATCAGACAGAGATGGAGCATGGCTAGGAATGCCTCGAGGCGGCTGCAGCAGAAACGGCCAAAGCCCTTCATGAATGTCCCTTGCTGAGACATTGACACGCCAGCACTAGGGCTTCATCCTGTGAAGGAGAAACGAAGGCATACTTAGTCTTCAAATTCGCGACACCTGGTGGTGCTTTTTGCAGGAACTGAGGTAGTTGTTCTTAGAACAGGACAAGTGTGGGGTTGCTGCATGCTGCGGTAAAAAAATCCCGCACGCACACTTCTCACCTTCCAACAGCTGCCCTTTCCTCAAATGTTCAATCCGGATTAAAAGATCTGGTTGATCAATTCAGGGGGTGTTCCCCCCAAAAGTGATGGATTCCCTCTGAACTAGGACAGCCGTAGTCAACCAGGGGTCAATCGATCCCAATTGCGCTTCGGCCCACATGATCGACCAAGCCGCTGCCGCCGCTGGGGCCTCAGATTCGAGTCGTTGGCGTCGCGGCAAGAGTCCTTTGGGTTTCATTTTTCGGCAGTGTGGAGGTTTCCTTTACGTGGCCATGGGGCAAAATGCCATATCAGTGAACATCCCAATCCAACCACTAAAATAGACGAAAATGGGCGGTGAATTCACCTTACCCAAAATGGTACCATTTTTTTGACCCACAGCCACGTGTTCCTTTTGTTTTCGTTTAGACTTTTTGTTGGCATGAATGTGGCAAAGAAATGGGGGGTTGATAAAATGGTCCGCGCGTTCTGACACATATGCCCTGCAGTGTCCGGAATGTGATTTCCCCACCTGGTTTGTCTCTTCGGTCCGACAGCCAACATCGCGTCAAGGCGCGAGACATTGGCCCAGAGTTGGACCAACGACGTCCAGATACCCCGCTGAGCCGGCGAACTGCAACCTTGTCTGCCCGCGTTGCTTCAATTTTGATGCAAAGGCCCAACAGTTGTGCCAAAAAATTGGCCACTTGCGTTTGATGCAAAGGCGCATTCCCTGTGTGCGAACGGGGCAAGAGGCAGCGTGGAGCTGGTGTGTGGACCCTACCTGTCCAGTTTGGCCTACTGCGACAAGGAAAAATACCTTTCAGGGGCCTCCAGCTAGACTAACTGGTGTGTGTGTGTGTCTGTGTCTGTGTCTGTGTCTGTGTGTCTGTGTGTCTGTGTGTCTGTGTGTCTGTGTGTCTGTGTGTCTGTGTGTCTGCGTGTTTGCGTGTTTGAGTGTTTGCGTGTTTGCGTGGTTGCGTGTGTTTGTGTGTTTGTGTGTTTGTGTGTTTGTGTGTGTGTGCGTGTTTGCGTGTTTGCGTGTTTGCGTGTTTGCGTGTTTGCGTGTTTGCGTGTTTGGGTGTTTGTGTGTTTGCGCGTGTTTGCGTGTTTGTGTGTTTGTGTGTTTGTGTGTTGGTGTGTTGGTGTGTTCGTGTGGCATGTGGGGGTGTGGGGGTGTGGGTGTGTGGGTGTTTGGGTGTGGCTGTGTGTGTGTGTGTGGGTGTGTGTGTGTGTGGGTGTGTGTGTGTGTGTGTGTGGGTGTGTGGGTGTGTGGGTGTGTGTGCGTGGGTTTTATGTGTGTGTGTGTGTGTGTGTGTGTGTGTGTGTGTGTGTTTGTGGCGCGCGCTTTCAAATGTGCATGCACTTTGGATTAGGCTCCTCCCCTGAGTCCTCTCCCCCTTTTAAAGCAAACCGGACACATCGGCGAGAGAAGACTGGGCAAAACCAGTGCCAAGTCAGCCGCATTCGATTTGTTGGTGAAGGGATGGCCATGTGCGAAAATGAAGTGAGCCCTCACGGATTGTTTTCCTATTTCCTTTCCCTCGGTGAGAGCCACGACTCGTCTAAACACATGGCCATGGGTAGAAGCTGGTGACCTTTCCAAACAGTTTCCTCGCCGTTTCTCTTTTGCTGGGCCATCCTTGCTCCCCTGTGGTAGGCAGGATTTGAGGCTGCGTACCCCACTACCAACCATTTTCCCATTTGTGGGGAGGCTTTGGAGACATGCATATTATCACATCGGGGCTGGGCAAAATTTGAGCAACCCTCAAAAGGGAACCAAAAGGGGGTAGTTCCACGTTTAGACAGCCCAACCGTGTCTTACATGCCGAAAGAACCCTTTGACTTGGGGTTAGGGACGGAGCCTTTCGGGTGTTAGGCAACTAGAAAAAGCTTTCTGATGCTCAGAAGGGAATGAGGGAATGACCCTTATAAACCGTCCAACTGGTGAATTTTTTAAAGAAATCCCCAGGCTCATTCCCTCATTCCCCATGGAGCACCGGCAAGAAACCGCCTAGCAAAACCAACCTGGAAGTTTCAGGCCCCGGCGCCGGCCGCGCCAGTCCCGGAACGAGGCGTGGGACGTCTTTGGGGCGTAGTTGGGGGGCGTTGGCGCGAGCTTGACCCAAACCGAAACCAAAAGGGGAGAGTTTGTCATTCTTTTCCAGACCGCCCTACTGAGCGCCC